AACCCAGCCCCCTCTCGGCTCGCCCGGAGCCCGTTCCTGCTTCCCTGGCCACAGTCCCACGGATGCTGCTCCTTCTGCCCCGGCCCAGGCCCCTTCCCTCCACGCTTTCCCTGCCCCAGGCACCCGAAGAGCTGGTGCTTGCTCCACATCAGCTCATTTCATCCCTCCTGCTAAAGCACACTTCTGCATTTCTTTTCCCCTGTCTTGGGGTGTCATGATCACAGAATGGTCTAAGGGTTTCCACATGCAGTTAAGTGACACCACTGATTTCTCTTAGCACCCTAGAGACCAAATTGCAGCGTCAAAAACAAGTTGGTTTTAGGCTGCTTGAACTGCAGGTGAGTTCTCGCCCCGTATACATATATATAAACAGTTATTTGTACAGCAAAGCCTAGTTTTGGGCCTGGATCTTGTGTATGCAGCACAATTCTGCATTAGCAGCAAGATTTTATTCTGCAGTGAGATTTGACTGGGTCGAGTAATCGGAGTCAGAAGCACAAAAGTTTCCAAAAAGTGAAGACAGTGTACAGGTGCAAGCCAACAACTGGGTGTTTACTGGTAGCTTAGGCTGCAAAACGGTGAGTTCCTTCATGCTGTCCCTTCCACAGCCCCAGTCATCGACCCCTTTAGGTAGCACATCCAGCCCCTACAAAGGGCTCCGAGCCCTGTCCTGGCAACAGCAGCAGACACACGTGTATTCAGCGTGGGTACCCAAGGAAACGTGTCAGGGTGCCACTGGCTCAAAGCTCCTGGCGGGGCCAGAGACCCTTGGCTGATTTCAATCAACATTACAGAAGGCGAGCTCTTTAAGCCATCAGTCTCCCCACAGTTTTCTCAAAAATGGGCACTTGGTAGTGGAGAGAATAAGCAAACCACCCACATAGTGCCCGGGATGAACCATACCATGAGTCCACTTCTGATTAGACACCAAAAATCTGCACATGATTTCCAGAAGCTTCACTGCAGGTCTTTATTTAGCCACCAAACTCAGCCAGCCACCAGATAAAACATACAGGGTTGTCTATGATTTGTAAGTGTATTTTATAGTATGAAGATTTTATGTGGTTGTATATATATATATAAAGTTAACTTAAAGTCTATTTTAAAACATAAGAACCTGCTACATCCCCTGAAATCTGCAGGCAGCCCAGCCACGACCTAAAGCTTGTAATGACCTGGCAAGAGCTGCATGTTCCCAGAGCCCTCTCCCTCGTGTGGCTGGCTTCCAGGGAGCTCGGGAATCACGTCCCCTACTCGAGGGACGGCAGATTTCCAAAGCCTTTCCAGATGTTTATCTTGGCAACCTCAAATTCAAATATTAACAGGTCTAATTAGCAGCCTGGCCACAACTGGATCTTGCAGGTGGTTACTGGGCACAGGTGAGGAGACAGAACAGGAGCAGGTCCCACAAGTCAGTACAGTCATTCCACCCCCATCCTATGTGGTGCTGGCTGGCAATCCCCACCTTGGCTTCGGATGCAGCTTTCTACACATTCCTGTACCATTGGAGAAGCTCAAGTGTTGAATGAATGGCTGGGACCAGCCAGGATGTGATGGCCCAGCACAAGGAGCGGCTGCTGGGCACCCTCGCGAGCTGGGTCTGGCCCCTGGGGGGCTCGCTCAGCCCTGCCCAGGGAGCCCTCGGCACAGCACATCTTCACAGACCAGGGCGAAGCTGCCAGCCTCGGGCAGCACCAGGGATCATGCTCACGGCACATTCCTGGGTACAGGACAACACCCTGGGGAGCGCTATGCCGACGGGAGCGATATCTTATATCTCCTTACAGGAGAAAAATCTTGACTCATCCTTCCCCCTCTTCTGTCCCAAGTTTTCAGTCCAAGAACTAATAAAATTCAAACGCCTATGTCAAGTTTTGTCTCTTGAAATGCTCTACAACGTTGACTTGAAATCCAGTAGCCCTGCACCCTTAGAAGATGCATTTTAGGAGGCAGCGAGGAAGAAGCGGTGCAAATTCATAGGAGACCTTAATGGAAGTCCCAACAGCAGCCGTTGCTGGCAGTTACCCAATGGCCGCTCATTCCTCATCAGAGCACACCTCACGTGTAACCTACGCCTCTCGCGTGAAGCCTCTGCAATGCACGGGTGCACACGTATGTGTTAGCCTGAACCCTCACTGCACGTACAACCTGCACGGCTCAGCGTTCAACCGTTCCACAGCCACGGGGCGAAACTTCGAGGATCTGGAGGGATGGATCAGTTCGTGTCTGTACCTACAACCTCGAAGGGCACAAACAAACCAGTCAGCTTCAAGATCATCTTCCCAGGCTTTAAGTTAGCCACGTACCTAGGCAACTCATTGAGAAATATGTATGCAAAAGTATAACCCTGACAGCCAGTCTTGAATTAGTCCATTTTTCTAATGTCTATAAATCTGATGCTTTTAATTCTGAAGATTTATATCATTACTATTATTTTCTTTACAAACTAACTCCATTTCACATCCTAGATAAATAGAGATGCAATTCTGATCCATGTTTTGAAGGATATTTCTTTCAAATCACCCTCCCTATTTAGCCATCCTAAATATGGCAGCCTGGAACATTACAGTACTGAGGAGCTACGGAATTACTTGCACAGAGATTCTTGCAATGTTTCTAACCCCCAAATTGCCACTAATGCAAGAACACAATTAGACCGAGCCTTTACAGAGCACAAGTATCTGACTACGCGGCGCATTTGTGTACTAGCGGGGGTTGAGAGCTTCCAAGTAATCAAAGGGATTTATTTTAGGGAAAGGCGTGTGACTACGTATTCTAAACAGCTTAGATGAACTCTACCAAAACGGCTCAGCAAAGCAGATGTCCAGGCAACCCGTCAGAGGCACGCCAGCAGTGTTTAATGCACAGGCAAAGCGCGCTACGATGCCGTGGGTGGCTCATATCCGACACGAAAACATTCACAACTCGCTGCCCAGGGAGCAAGGGAACGGCTCGCTGCGGTCGCGCACCAGCGAGGAGTTTCTGGTGTGGTTCGGCGATGAACTGCACTAACCAGTCCCTGGGGAGCTGGGAGTCACAGATGACACAAACCCAAGTTGTTTGGTGTTAACTATTGATACAGACACTTGAGAGCAGCTCCCGAGGGAGGGATGGCGGGGGCAATGCCCCTGCTGCTCCTCCCTTGTGTCTGCGGACAGCGAGCGGCACACGCTGCGCCCGCCTGTGAAAACCAGGGCACACGCACGCGTTAACGAGGCAGTTGTGCCCCAGGCCCTGCTTCTTGACTGAAGCACCCCAACGGCTCGTTGTAGACCACTGTGCCTGTCTGGATCACGCTAGCGGGGACAGGATCAGGTCACCCCTTCGGCGGGGACAGCACGCAGCCTCTGCCATCGCGGGCCAGGTATCGCGCTGTTCCTCACCCCCCCGGCCCCTCTGGCGTCACCCTTACCTCCGTCAGCGTATGTCTCGGTGCCGTAGCCATCCTGCAGGCCGTTATTCCAGGTACCTTCATACTTGGCTCCGCTGCTCATGCTCTGCCTTGCGCCGTACCGTCCCTTAAAGCCATGGGTCCACTCGCCCCGGTAAACCCACCGTCCTTTGGTCTCGATTCCTAGGCCGTGCCTCTTGCCTTGGGACCAGTAGCCTTCATAGGTGTTGCCGCTGGGCCACGTGTATATGCCCACCACTTCAAAGCCGTAGTTCCAGGAGCCCGAGTACTCGCCCTGGCCCTTGGGGCCGGTGCAGATGCCGTGCCCGTGGGCTTTGCCCCCTTCCCAGCCCCCGCAATAGGCACC